TATATTTCCATCCGTCATCCATCCATATCTTTCCATTTTAATCTTTACATTCATCCTTCCATTCATTAATTTGTACTAACAAATCTATATCCGTCCATCCATTCTTATCTTTCCATCCAAACATACATCCATATCTTTCTTTGTCTTTACATCCATCTATCATCCATTAATTAATTTGTATTACAAAATCTATCCATCCATCCATTCTTATCTCTCCATCCTTATCTTTCCTTCTTTCCATCTATCCTTTTTTCTTCCTTTCATTCATTTATCCATATCTTTTTATCCATCTATTAATTCATTTGTATTAACCTATCCATCTGTTCATCCAGTCTTATCTTTCCATCCATCCATCATTATCTTTTCATCCTTATATTTCTTTCCATCTATCCATTAATATGTATCAACCCCTCCTTCCGTCTTTTTTAAAATCATTTTTAGACTGTCGTTCAATGGCAACACTGATAAAAAAAATCTTCTTTAAAGATGCAAATAATTTTATTTAGCAAATTATGTCTGAGTAAAAGAAAAAAATCAGATTGTAAGTGAAACTGTAAATCCTTACTGTGTCTATAATATCACTGAAATATTAAAGGGGACCTATTATGCAAAAATCACTTTCATAAAGGGTTTAACCACAGTTGTGTGGCAGCAGTGTGTGAATATAACCCGATTTTACTAGTAAAAAAATAATAATTCAATTTTTTATAATCACACTTGATAAAAACAGTCAGCAGAAACACTTTGATTGACTTCATCCCGGTGTACTTGTCATCAGATGGGGAAAGCGTGGCCTGTTAGTGACGTTTTCTCCCTCATTAATATAGTGTTAGTCTTGTTTTTGAATCTGCTGCTATGCTGACAGTGCTGGCATTTGTAGCTTCGCCCTCTTTTGTGGAGCACAGTCTCATTTAAATTTAAAGCGACAGTCACCAAAAGGGCTCAGTTAGCATCTAAGCTTAAGAGGGTTATGATAAACAAAAGCTGTGTCTTGTTTCAGAGGCTGCATTTAAAGTGCGCTGCATCACTGCGGCACGACGAATTCTCATCTCATCTCATTTTTAAAAAAATTTGAAGGCTCCTTCAAATGCAGCCTCAAAATGCATACTTCGTTTCCCAGGTGATGAAGAATACAACCGGTGGAGATTGATTGCATGCTGACCAACGGCAAGACGTTTTTAAAAGAAAACCTTGAATTAAATTAATGAATAAGGTTTTATTTTACTTGGATATTTTAACACGTTAAAAAGCAAAAAGAGCATGACATGTCTCACTAAAAAGTTATTTTATAGGGGAATTACCAACCTATGTCATGCATGACGTCACTGGTTCGTCCGCGTATACCGGTTGTGAAAAAAAGACCGGTTGCAATAGCAAACACGTGTTGTGGGGTAGCATGCCAAATTTGATTTTACCCCATTTATTTTACCGTGGCTTTTAATTCCAACCCCAGATGTCTTTGGCTAACAGCCGAACAGCTATCATAAGAGCTGAATGGAGTGAGGACCTAATTAAAAAAAATAATTACTCGTTTTTGATTGCAGCAATGATTTCAGCAAAAACAGTTACATATGGTGAATTAAACTGCGGGCACTGAATGCTTAGAATGAATTGTAACCAAGTTTACATACCCTGCTGTACAGGTGCAGCTCGCTGTCAGAATGCAGTTGTTTTGCTTGTTGATGACTACCCAGGCCTTGTAAAGCTCCGTCTTCTTTCCTTGTCTTTGGCTAGGCAGATCCTCGGTTTTTAGCACTACAAAGTTTTGAATCTGGCTATCCTGGAACATTGTTTCTTGCACATGACCACACAGAACAAAACTGTAGGCATCCAAAGACTTGTAGGCCTTTAACTTCTCTCTTGTAAAATCACTTGGAGTTTTAATGAGATGGTTGTATATTTGGGGCTGGATGCTTGGCCATTTCGTCTTATCCAATATCCATTGGGAGGGTGCTATCAAAAGTGCTCCGGTGAGACGAACGGAACGCCGCTCACTTTAACGTTAATTTTGCTGAATAACTGTGCTTATCACTGGGTGACAAGCTGTTATAATATGCTGAAAGCATTATGTAAATAATATATATAATATGTATTCAGTATAACTTATTTCTAAGACAACAACAAACTCTGTACCGCATCGGACGCCATTTCTCGCTGTAAATGCAAGCCCTCCTGAGTTTTTTTAAAATTTTTTTTTTATTCCTTCCTTCAACCTCGCTGCGCGTGCATCCTGAATGTTTAGAAACCAGTAATTCGTCCATAGCGACTGATGATTGGCTCCTGTACTAGAAGGCGGGGCTTAATTCACCATATATACAGTTATTTTCCCCCATTTAAAACTATACAACTGACACGTCTTGTGTGTTCTATAGACTTTGTAAAAAATTATTTGTGAAACTTCACACACACACACACTAGAGACATCAGAGATGTATTTAAGACCTTGTAAAATGGGGAATAACAGATCTCCTTTAATACTAGAGAGAAACTAACTCAGAGCAGAGCAATCAATTCCTAAAATCCTCAGTAAATGAACGAATCAAAGACTACAGCTTGGTTATTTGCCCAATTTTACCACATTTATTTTACCGTGGCTTTTAATTCCAACCCCAGATGTCTTTGGCTAACAGCCGAACAGCTATCATAAGAGCTGAATGGAGTGAGGACCTAATTAAAAAAAATAATTACTTGTTTTTGATTGCAGCAATGATTTCAGCAAAAACAGTTACATATGGTGAATTAAACTGCGGGCACTGAATGCTTAGAATGAATTGTAACCAAGTTTACATACCCTGCTGTACAGGTGCAGCTCGCTGTCAGAATGCAGTTGTTTTGCTTGTTGATGACTACCCAGGCCAGAGCAATCAATTCCTAAAATCCTCAGTAAATGAATGAATCAAAGACTACAGCTTGGTTATCTGCCGAAAAAGTGTGAAGTATAGCAATTTATTATGCAATAATTGGCAGACGAATGCTGTTAATGTTAAACTGTATTGTGAGTGTGTGGAATTTTTCACACCACGCTTAGCCCTGGCTTGTATTCAAGAGCTGTTAAGCCTTGTTTACCAAAAATAATGGACAGATTGGTTAAAATCATGAAAACTATAAAATAAAATAAAGTATAAAATAATGAAAACTGTGAGGGTAGCTCACTTACAATTTAGCCTTTTATTGTTTGTAAGTGAAACAAGAGCAACATTCATGTTCATTCAGCTTAGTCACTATTCATCAGGGGGTCCCACAGCAGAGTGAACTACCACTTATTCCAGAATATGTTTAATGCAGCGGATGCCCTTTCAGCCTGCAACCCAGTACTTGGAAACACCCATAAACTCTCATATTCACACTCATACACTACGGCCTATTTAGTTTTTTTTTTATTCACCTATAGCACATGTGTTTGGACTGTAGGGGAGAGCGGAGCACCCAGAGGAAACCTACACCAACATTGGGAGAACATTCAAACTCCACACAGAAATGCTAACTGGCCCAGCTGGGACTTGAACCAGCGACTTTCTTACTGTAAAGCAACAGTGCTAACCACTGAGCCACCGTGTCGCCCCCTTAAGAGGAAAATGATGTTCAATGTTACCAAGAGTACTTTGGTAACTTTTTCAGACGATTGGATTACTTTTAAGATTACTCGTCTTTAATATTATTTATGACATATGTACTATACATACTTTTGTTTTTTTCCAGGGTAAATATTTAGATTTTAAAGTTTGGGAATCCTCGAATTATATTTATTTATTATCTTTTTTTATTTATTTATTTATTTTTTTTCATCAATAGTTTTTAGTAATTTGCATAATTATGACTTGTCTTATGTCCCCTAATCTCCCCTGAATTCTGACCCTACCATCCGAATGGCTCATCAGACTAGGCGATGTTTTTCCAATATTCTATTGTCCAATTTTGGTGAGTCTGTGAATTGTAGCCTCAGTTTCCTGTTCTTAGCTGACAGGAGTGGCATCCGGTGTGGTCTTCTGCTGCTGTAGCCCATCTGCCTCAAGGTTGGACGTGTTGTGTGTTCTGTGATGCTCTTCTGCAGAAGTCTAGCTGGTTTTAGCTGGTCATCTCCCGGCCTGATCAGCTAAGACCAGGCTGGAAATGGCTGGAAACTAGCCTGGAAGTGACCCAAACCCCTCTAAAACTAGCCTGGTTGACCAACTAAAACCAGCATAGGCTGGTTTAAGCTGTTTTTTTTTTTCAGTAGGGTGGCCTGATGTTGAGTTCTGACGTCAACCCGATTTTCTTTTTCAAACAAAATGCAACAGAACATGACGTTACTGTACAACGTTAATTTGAATTCATGTTGGCATCTTGTGCCTGCTGGGTGTTTAAGGCCATTTCATACAGTAAACATCTGTCATCTACTCATCAGCGACATCATCTAACAGTCTCTGGGGCAATGCGTGGAAAGATTTTGGACGTCTTCTTGGACACTTTTAATGCTTCCAAACAAACTGCAGCGATTTATAAATCGCCCATGTCTTGAGGTTGTTCATTATGATGTGATTTTCCTTCTATTTGCGATTCGATTGGACAGAAATCACAGACTGATTTTTCCAAAACCAATAGGAAAGATAAAGTAGTGTCTGCTGGTTGAAGGAAAATTGTGGAGTAAAAGTACCAATTCAGCACTAAAATGTACTCAAGGGAGAGTAAAAGTACACATTTTTAAAACGGCTTAGTAAATTACAATTCCTGAAAAAAACTACTCAATTACAGTCATTTGAGTATTTGTAATTTGTTACTTTACACCCTTGGTATATACATGAACGCCATGACATAGCTCTGCTTTCCTATTTTTATTTAATGAAATTGTATTTAAATAATCTCTAAAACAAAACCAGTATAATATGGTTTGCTATTGATGTGTGGATCTAGAATTGATCTTTTCTGCTGAGTCACTTTGAATAGTCGAAGTGTACTTGACGTAGGGAGGATAGAAGAGGGCGTCTCTGATTGGCTGTCTGCTTTCCTACGTGAGGCGGTAACTTTCATATGTCTGCAGTGCACATCTGGAAGAGGTTACTCGTGCTCTTGTTTACTCTGAGGACGGTGTTAGAGTTTCACTGCAACTTAAAAATGTCTTTCATAAAGACTGAGGAAAAAAGCGACTTTTCTTATCACAACTTGCCCTACGGAGTTTTTTCGACGCCGGATAATGTAAGTAAACTTTTCATTCAAGTCTCAGAATCACGTTACCGTTTGCTTGAGCTAAATTAAATAAGTTTTGTTATGCAATAAGGGTGTGTTTAACTTTAATGAAACCGCTAAATTAAGTAACTTTAAGCATTTCACTTCAGCCGCAATCCTGTGTGGACACAGTTGGTTTCAAAGGTCAGAGAGCACATTGAAAATCTGCACACAGTACTATTAAACTATCAATAAAGCTTTATTATTAAGCATACCAACACTTACCGAAGCATATATGATATTTTAAGCAGAATACAAAATATGCACTTTATTTGTTGTAATGATCATGTAAACTCCTCTGTTTCCACCAAATCTGGGAGAACGTCATTTCTTTGTATGATTAAGTTATTTATTATAAATAGCAAGTCATTTTAAAGTTCATGCAAAGTTATTACATCAATAAGACCAGTTCATATATATAGTCTTCTATAAAGCAGGCCAGGCACAGAATCGGTGTTGCCATTGGAGACCAAATCTTGGACCTCAGTGTCATCAAGCATCTTTTCAAGGGACCGGCTCTGCAGCCACACCAGCATGTCTTTGAACAGGTGAGATTCATTATGTGCATGTGCATCCTTTACCCCAGTCCTGGTTATTTAATTATTCATTTATATATTATTATAATTATTTACCCCCCAACAATTATCTAAATTGTTAGGTTATCTACTGTTTAGCTATAAATTTCTCTTTCTTTCTTATTATTTTTAATCTTATTTTATTTTCATTCATTCATTCATTTTCTTTTCGGCTTATTCCCTTTATTAATTAGGGGTCACCACAGCGGAATGAACCGACAACTTATCCACCATATGTTTTACGCAGCGGATGTTCTTCCAGCCGCAACCCATTACTGGGATTTTTTTTCTTACCTCATAATTTATCTTCTTTTTTTGCCATTTTGTCTCCTTTTCGATCATTTTCTGACTTTAATATATATATATATATATATATATATATATATATATATATATATATATATATATATATATATATATATATAAAATTAAACAAATATATAAATATATAAAATTAAACATATATATATATATATATATATATATATATATATATATATAATTAAACAAATATATAAATTATTATAATAAATGCCTTTTATTTATTCTTTTTGTTCTTTCTTTCCTTATTTAAATTTTTTTCTTTTTAATCAATTGTTTCTTTATTATTCTTATTTAAAAAATTCATTTTTTTGTGAGAAATTTAGGAAAAATGTGATAAATTATTATAATGAATGGCTTATTTTTATTCAGTTTTTTCTCTCCATTCTATTTTTTTGTTTTTTTATTGTTTTTTTTATTAAGTTTTTTTCTTTTTGATTTTCTTTGCCTTTTAATTATTTTCTTAATTTTATTTAATATATGTATTATTTATTTTAATAAATGTAAACATTATTATGATAAATTGCTTGTTTTTATTCTATTATTTTTTTCTTTCTTTTACTTTCATATTTTTGTTTCTTTTTCTTATTTTAATTTTCTTTTTGTAATTTTCTTCTGTCATTTTCTCTCCATTTACAATTATTCATATAAATATTTTAATATTTATTTAATGTACCTATTATTCATTATAATAAATGTATTAAATTATTATAGTGGATGGCTTATTTTTTTATTCAGTTTTTTCTTTCTTTTCTATTTTTCTATTTTTCTATTTTTATTCTGTTTTTTTATTTTCCTTTCCTTTTTAATTATTTTCCTAATTTTATTGAATATTTACAGTTTATATTATATGAATTGTCTACTTCGACTCACTGCCATTTACTCTTTATTTCTAATAAATATTTTTATTCCTTAATCCTTTCCAAGTTCAAAACATAATAACGATTTAGAGATGTACATTTCATACCCTTAACAATCACATATGGAGGACGAAACCTTCAAAAACAATAAATAAATGGATAAATACATCCACAAATTCCTGCATTAATAAAACGTTAAATAGTATGCAAATAAATAAATGTATATAAAATGTATTAAAAAATTACTCTAATGTTGGGGAAAAAAACATGTTAAACTGAAAGTTTATTTTCCCCCATTTAAACGTTTATTAATTTCTTGTAATTAGTTCCGTATTTACTTTTCCTTAGGTCAACATACTAATGACAATGAATGAATAAACATTTGAAAGGGTGAAATAATCCTTCAGTTTAGCATTTTCTTATTCCCCCAACATTCGTGTCATTTATATAATTATATACACTATTTATTTATTTATGCAGGAATTTGTGAATTTTTGTATACATATATTTATTATCATATTTAGTATTTTATATATGCAGAAATTTATAGGTCTATTTACCATTTATTTATATATATTTGCGTATTTATTAGGTTTGCTTTTGTTTTATTTTATTTATATATATATATATATATATATATGTGTGTGTGTGTGTGTGTGTGTGTGTGTGTGTGTGTGTGTGTGTGTGTGTGTACATTTTAAATTAAATCTATATATGTATTTTCCCAGAGATGGGTTGCAGCTGGAAGGGCATCCGCTGCGTAAAAACTAGCTGGATAAGTTGGCGGTTCATTTCGCTGTGGTGACCCCGGATTAATAAAGGGACTAAGCTGACAAGAAAATGAATGAATGAATGATATATATAAAAATAGCTGTCAAAAATAGAGTAGGAGAAAATGGCACTGTATATATATATATATATATATATATATATATATATATATATATATATATATATATATATATATATATATATATATATACATACACAGTGCCATTTTCTCCTACTTTATTTTTGACAGCTATTTTTCTTTTTCTCTACTGTCTACTACAAATCCTATTTTGTCATTTTTGAAAAGGAAGTAATAAAAGACTTTCATCAGTTTGTTATTGCAGAAATTATTGGTGGTTCTTCATGTTTACGCTTATTTTCACCTTCATCACAGCCAACTCTCAATGCATTTATGGCTCTGGGTTATGAAGCTTGGAGAGAAGTGAGAAAGACCCTCCAAATGCTTCTGTCTGCAAATGAGCCCACGCTGCGGGATGACGTCAGTTTACGAAGCCGGTAAATGTTCCTTCCACATTAGGGTTATCTTCGTTAGTATAGTTCTCACTGTACTTCAATTAGTATGCACTAAATATACTGCCTTTAAGCAGGGCCAGAAAGAATCTGCTGACTTTTATCTTTGCTATTTCTGCACAGACTTTAGTAAAAACATACCAGTCAAAAATTTAGGGTCAGTTTTTTTTTCTTTTTTTTTTTAAAAACTGTTTATCAAGGCGGCATTTTTTTAAATGTAAAATGAAAAAAGTTAAATATTTATAAAACAGTTTAAATGAGTGTTTTCTTATTGTATGTAGTTTCAAGTGAAATTATTACTCATTACTCATTATTGCTTTTATTACTATTACCATTAATAATAATAACAATAATAATTCATATTAGAGTGATTTCTGAAGGATCGTGTGACTGAAGACAAAGTAATGAAGCTGAATATTCATCTTTATAATCGATGCACTCAGAAAAAATGGTACAATGTTGTACCAAAGAAGGTACAAACCCTTCTCACTGTGTCAGTACTTTTTTATGGAGCAAAATTATACCTTAAGACAAAGAAGCAAATTTGTATCATTGCAGTTTGTACCTTTTAAGGACATGATCTGTACCATGGGAAACCAAAATGTATTGGTTTTTAAAACCTGATACAATATTGTACCTTCATCAAAGGTACAAATCTGATCCATGAAGGTACCACTACAGTGACAAGACACTTTGTACCTTAACAGTGTCAAACGTGTTCCTTCGAGTACTTTTTAAAGGCAATTTGCTTTATCCAAAATGTGTCAATTTACTTTCGGTAAATATAAAACATCAAATCATTTATTATACAATCTTTTTTTAAAAATTCTTTTTGTGTAAAAAAACATTTTCAGTTTACAATAAAGAATAAAAACTATTTTAACATAAATGAAAAGATCAGTCTTTTTTGCTAAACACTTCACAACTCTTTTTACTAAAATGTTACAGAAATGCATTCTCCCATCTACAATATAAAGCTTTTTTTCTCCACTTTTCACACAACACCTTTGTTATCACTTAAAATTTCATTTAATGTACTTAATTTTAAAATAGGCATATAATGCAATAGTATTGTAACGAGATATGCACAATGTTTAATCAGTTTTACAATACTACAGTGTCTGCATGAACACTTTGCATATGCAGGACTTTTGCCAGCTCACATACGTAGTGGAAAGCAAACGCCAAACAGTGCGGATATCAACAATGAAAATGTGTTTATCAGAAAATGCTCCCCAAATGTTTCACTTTCAAATCACTTTGCTTTTCCAGTAATTTTTGTTTTCATAATATTGTAAATAATTATTGATATTGTAATAAAGGAGTTGTCCAACACTTCTGTACCTTTTTTATAAGAACAATTTTGTACCTTCATTTCAATTGTACCATAACAGGTACAGAACATTATCATAAGAGGTCTTTTCTGTACCATATAAGGTACAACTTTTACAAAGGTACAAAAGGTATTTGTACCACCGTGTACCTTTTTTTTGAGAGTGTAGAATAAATGATTAAATTAAATTATAAACTACTTTTGAACAGTTATTTAACATTTCACAATTGTACTATTTGTACTGTATTTGTGAAGATATAAATGCAGCCCTGGTGAGCAAGAGAAGCTTATCTTAAAACTTTTAAAAAATCTTACTGACTGTAGATTTAAGCAGAACGCTTTTGAGTGGAAAGAAGCTGACAAGACATAAAATACAAAATTATATATCTTATTGTTTAGGTATTCTAGGTTTACAATGTAAATCAAGTTAGAAGCACTTGTTTGGTAAACAAAGCTACAGCAGTCTTCTTATATAAGATAATGGGCCCGTTTCAGAAATGAGGTTAAGTGAAAACTCAGAGTATGTTAACCCTGAAATGAGAGAAACTCTGGGTTTTCCCGTTTCAAAGTAACAGGTTTATCAAACTGAAGAAAGCAGAGCAAGTCTAGCCCGTTTCAGAAAGAGAGGTAACTTTAACTCAGAGTCAGTTACCATGGTAACTTACTCTCTGAACCTAACCTGGTCAGGAGCAGGTTGTATTCTCTAAACTCAGAGTTTCTGTTGGTCTCCTCTCCTTTTTTAAAGACTAGGGGCTCTATTTTGACGGTCCATGCGCAGAGCGCAAAACGCAGGGCGCAAACGCTTTCAGGGCGTGTCAGAGCGCATTTTTGCTAATTTAAGGACGGGAAAATCCGCTTTGCGCCAATGCGCATGGTCTAAAAGGGTTGAGTTTATTTTCTTAATGAGTTATAGCTGTGTTTAGAGAATAAACCAATTAGAGTCTCATCTCCCATTCCCTTTAAGAGTCAGCTGCGTCGCGCCAAGAGCGCATTCGCTATTTACAGGACGCAAAGTAAGTCTAAGTGGAAAAACTGATAATTTCACAAGCAAACAGTTAACAGTTTTTATTTTTTATTTTTATTTTACAGAAAACTGTTAAACAGAGCATCTACTGCGTGAGAATGAGAGATAATGAATTTACTTTCACATTCGCTCTTGGATAGGGAAACCTTTATGCACAGACATCAATTAGTCTATAAATAAATCATTTTGTTTGTTAAGCGCAAATATTTGTTTTAAAACTATTTCTAAATTCAGTTCTAATTTCCAGCAAACGAATAAATGAACAATAATGACCAAGTGTGCTCAAAAACCTGAGTTATATCCTAAAACACATGCTGTGCCCCATATGATCTAAAACCTGACAGGTGAGCAAATCTAAGCTTGTTTTTAATCAAACAAATATAAATATGGATATAATAAATAATACTGCTAATAATAGTAACATTATACAAAAGCAAATTGTTATGAATGAACTGAAAAAGCCTCCCGAGATGAAGACATAAAAGCAGTGATTTTTCATATTTATGTAGGCTAGAAAATAATATGTTTTGTAATATTTTAATCCTTTATATTTATATTCTATATCTATTCTTATTATATCCTATATATATCCTTAATATTAAATTTTTTCATATGTAAAGATATTTGCCTATTGCTCTCTTGTGTGTATTAAGCAGTGCGTAAGTGAGGCGCAACTTTGCGCCGGAGTCTAGACCGGGTTTGTTTTGGTCTAATGAAAAATCTATTATAGTTTCTCAAAATAGCGACGCGCCAGCGGTCCGCCTCAGAACGCCTTCCTTTTTAGACCAGAACGCCTATGGGCGCGCAAATGCATTTGCTATTTAAACAGCGTAGCGCAACGCCTCAAAACGACTCTTGCGCCAAGCTGAAACTACCAAACAAGTATTGCGCCGCGCCTTGCGCCACATTGCGCCGAGTGTATGATAGAGCCCGAAGTGGTAATTCTCTCTTTAGCCTTACATTTCCACCCACCGATTTTAATGCTCATTTTGGAGATGCGCATAAAACGAAACATCATGATGCACATAACTTTTGAAAATACGCATAATAAAACATGCTCATAACTGAGTAGGATAAAATTTTATTCGTTAAGAAAACATGAACATAAAGTGAGATGAAAACACTTTTGCTAAACAAATTCCAGTGTGTGCATTAAATAAAGGTTTGTTATAAGAGATGATGATGAAAATGTGTTTGAATAGACAAACCACCTGTCTGAGAGCATTGTAAAACATCTTAAATGTTGTTTTGGTCGTTCTCAAACGCCTTAACCGTTTTAGTATTAATGTGCCTTATATTATTAAGTACCTCCAGAGTGTCAAGGGCGTCTGTTTTTTTCATCTCATGGCTTCAAACGGCCCCATGTGTTCATTGTGTGTCAACACTGTCTTCTGAGGCATTTACATTTATAAAATAAAGTACATTTATTAAACAAAGAAAAGACTGACGTAGCTTCTTCTGCCGCAGTAAATTCTGTTTTTGCTGTTGATATTTGGCGTCAGTTAATCAGGAAGTGATGATTTTCTCTTTGATTTATTGGATGGAAACGCTGCTTTATTCGCACATCTTTTATTCCAGTTTTGCACATAAATTTAATTAATATTTTTGGATGTAAACACAGCTATTACTTACATATTAGTGACACACAGAACAAAGTCATGTACGAGAACGGCTTGTCCTTTTTAAATAATTAGCTTAAATTCTCTGACCTTTGACATGTACTGTTACTAGATTATTGGGCTTATTATTCTTTCTAAAACTATTGTTTAGTTCTGCTTACTTTATAAATGTCACATCAACTTCTACCACTTGATCAATATAGAGGCTGACACACAAGTGCCCCGTTAAATCTATTAAAACTGATCAACGAGTATTAAAGTGGGAACGTGTGTAAATGTCACACATTACATTACTTTTTTATTATACTAAAATATTTAAATACTTTAGATGTAAAGTTCCGCATTAACTTGAGCAGCTGTTTTCCCACATTAACAGTCTCTGCTTCATTGATGCAGTGGTGTTGCTTTTTAAAATATATAGTCTTATCTGCTGTAACTCTGCATGAGCACATCAAGTTCAGCTGGAGAAAGAAATGCTGATCTCTTTTTTTCAGATGTTGCCGTAGTGGTAATGTCTGCACTCCAATGATAATGCCTTTTTATAGTCATGTGCGCTTAACTCTGAGTTGGTCTACTCAAAGTTGATTGACCTAATTCAGATCAGCTGTTCTGAAACCGAAAACTCTGAGTTGATTTACCGAGAGATTAAAAACCCTGAGTTTAAGTTTAAACTCCGAGTTGTTTGAACCTCCTTTCTGAAACAGGCCCAACATCTCATATTATATATAATATCTACTAAAGACAGAAAATATCACTGTGCAAATTGTATTGTACATAAATCGAATACTTTAGCATATTATTCAATAAAAAAAAATTATAATAAAATCAATAAATAAATAAAAAATATATATATAGGCGAAGCAGTGGCGCAGTAGGTAGTGCTGTCGCCTGACAGCAAGAAGGTCGCTGGTTCTTCTACATTGTCCGAGTGTATGAGGGTGACAGGCCCAGACGACAGGCTGGCCGGAATGTGTAAAAAAAGTCGTTATCATATGGACAAGTCTAAAATGGCTTGTTCCAAAGAGCCGACCCCGCAACCATACGGGACTAAGGCCGAAGAAGAAGATATATATATATATATATATATATATATATATATATATATATATATATATATATATATATATATATATATATATATATATATATCTGTGTGTGTGTGTGTGTGTGTGTGTGTGTGTGTGTGTGTGTGTGTGTGTGTATGCATTTTTGCATTAGGCAAGTTAATAAACAGACTCAATGTGCTCAATAAAATCGTTAAAACAGGTGTAAACAGTACACATTATACAAAATTTACCCTCATTAAACATCCGAACATATTCCTTTTTTTTTTTTTTTAAACAGGCATTTTATAGTTTGGATGGGTTAGTAAACATTACTTTATAAAACACCCATAACCTATTATCTCTTACAGTGCTATGCATTTATTACAGTATTATTATTTTATTATACTGTTGTTTATTATAATACAATTATATTTTGTTAATTTGCAATTAGTTAATACATTTAATGTATTATTATTTTAATAATTGATTGATTAAAAAAAATGGGAATTAACATTAGAGAAATAGAGAAAAGATGAATTTTTATATACAGTTATATATACAGGGCAAAATTATTCGCCTTCCTGTGCAATATTTATTTATTTATTTTTTAATATTTCTCAAGAGATATTTAAGGGCTTAAGGAATTTTTCACAGTATTTCCTAAAATATCTTTTCTTCTGGAGAAAGTCTTATTTGTTTTATTTAGGCTACAATATAAGCAGTTTTTGATTTTTATAAACTATTTTAGGGACAATATTATTAGCCGCTTTAAGCAATATTGCTTTAAGTTGTCTACAGAACAAACCATCGTTATACAATCACTTGCCTAATTACCCCAGATAAGCCTTTAAATGTCTTTAAAAGCTGAATACTAGTGTCTTGAAAAATATCCAGTATATTATGTTATCTAATAACTATTATGTTTGGAAATGTGTTGAAAAAATCTAAAAAATTTTACAGCAGGGCTAATAATTTTGACTTCAACTATTTAACAGCCTGTATGTTCAAGTTTGTATTTGTATTTTCCAGGGCATTTGTTCATCAGAGTTTAGCCGTGATGCATCTCCCAGCAGAAATAGGTATGTGTTACAATAAAACACCAGATATTTCCATATGACAAGTCCATATTTCATCCATAACTGAACCGTTTTTCAGTTTAAATCCGATACTCAATATAGACAGCAAATCAACGTGAAAGTCTAAAGACATGGGGTATAGGTGAATTGGGTAAACTAAAATTGTCCATAGTGTATGAGTGTGAACGAGTGTGCATGGATGTTTCCCAGTGATTGGTTGCAGCTGGAATCCGCTGCATAAAACATATGCAGGATAAGTTGGCGGTTCCTTCCGCTGTGGCAACCCCATATTCATAACGGGACTAAGCCGAAAAGAAAATGAATGGTTATGTGTTTTGAGCAGAAAACTGTCTGAAATTAAGACTGTAAATGCACTATATAAATATGCATTACTTGCTTATTAAAGATATTAATCTCAAAGGATGAATGTGCATAAAATAAAGCATAATCAACACTTTCATGCGGGCTTCAATACAGTCCTGCAGAAGCACAGCTCATGGTTATTTTTCAGAGTCACCACTAGAGGTCAATGTTCACTAGTTATGGATGTCAGAAGTCTTTCTCGAGACGTTTCATCTGCCTGCTTTTGTGTTTATTCTGTATTTTTTGTTTTTATTTATGCGTTTTATTTTCGTATTTGCCAAAATGTATAATAATTCATGCTTAATTCTATCAAGGATTTAATAAACTTAGTGTGAAAAAGTATTTGCCCCCCTTTAATCACTTTTTTCTATGTAGTTTTGGGTTTAGTTCTGCCATAATAATAAAAATGTCAATTTAAAAACGACACTGTGTGTTTACTTGTGTTATCTTTGACTAATATTTACATTTGATTGATGATCTGAAACTTTAAATTAGGCCAAACATGCAAGAAATAAGAAATTAGTGAGGGGGCAAACACTTTTACACACCACTGTAGGTCGATGTATTATTTCACTTTTGAAAAACCGCAAGAAGGTCGCTGGTTCGAGTCCCGGCTGAGTCAGTTGGCATTTCTGTGTGGAGTTTGCATGTTCTCCCAGTGTTGGAGTGTGTTTCCTCTGGGTGCTCCGGTTTCCCCCACAGCCCCAAGAAATGCGCTATAGGTGAATTGAACAAACTAAATTGCCCGAAGTGTTTGAGTGTGTGTGAATGTAAGAGTGTATCTGTGTTTCCCAGTAGCATCCGCTGCATAAAACATATGCTGGAATAGTTGGCGGTTCATTCTCCTGTGGCGAACCCAGATAATTAGGGATAAGAAAATGAATGAGTACTGACTTCCACAGTTATCACTTCACATGTTTATTCCTCATAAATCCTGCCTTTCCTTTATTTTGCCCAACAGGCGACTACACAGACTTCTACTCTTCTCGAGATCACGCCACCAACGTTGGAATAATGTTCCGTGGAAAAGAAAATGCCTTGATGCCCAACTGGTACGTGACAGGCCATTAATAATATTTCTCGTCCTCTTAAAGGGACAGTTCACTCAAAGCGAAAAATTCTGTCATCATTTACTCTTTTTCCAAATCTTTGTTTCTTTCTTCTGTTAAACTAGAAAGAAGATATTTTGAAGAATGTTAGAATCCGGTAACCACTGACTCCCATAGTATTTATTTTCCCTACTATGGAAGTCTGTATGGTATGTCTATATGGTTACAGGTTTTTATCTTTCTTTAAAATATCTTCTTTAATGTTGTTGTTATGTTGAGCATTTGGGTTTTCTTGTTTGTGTGCAATACATTTTAAAAAGTCATTTAAAAGGATAGTTCACCCAAAAAGGTAATTCTGTCATAATTTACTCTTGTTCCAACCCTTTTTGCATTTCTTTCTTCTGTTGAACATCAAAGAATATATTTTGAAGAATGTTAGAAACTGGTAACCATTGACTGCCATTGTATTCATTTTCTACTATAGAAGTCAATGGTTACAGTTTTTTTAGCTGTGTTCAAAACATAATCTTTTCGTGTTCAACAAAAGAAAGAAGCTCATAAAGGAGATATTTCAAAAAATGTTGGAAACCTGTAACAATTGACTTCCAAAGTATTTGTTTTTCCTACTATGAAAGTCAATGGTTACAGGCTTTTTTCTTTCATCGAAAGATCTTCTTTAATATTAATAGCTTTGTTCAAAATATCTTCTTTTGTGTTCAGCAAAAAATAGAAACTGAAAAAGGAGATATTTTAAAGAATGTTGGAAACCTGTAACCATTGACTTCCATAGTATTTGTTTTTCCTACTATGGATGCTAATGGTTACAGGTTTACAGCTTTCTTTAAAATATCTTCTTTAGTGTTGTTCTGATGTTCTGCTCTTGGTTTTTGATTTTTCTGCACTTGTTTATGAATTCGGCTCTTGTTTGGGTGCAGTTTATTTTTAAAAGTCACTTAAACGGTAAGTTCACCCAAAAATGTATTTCTGTCATCATTTACTTTTGTTCCATACCTTATGTGTTTCATTCTTCTGTTGAACACGAAAGAAGATATTTTGAAGAATGTTGAACACCGGTAACCATTAACTCCTGTAGTAATTATGTTCCCTACTATGGAAGTCAATGGTTACAAATTTTCATCTTTTTTTTTAAATAACTTCTTTAGTGTTGTTCTGATGCTCTGTTTTTGGGCTTTTGATTTTTCTGCATTTGTTTATAAATTCAGCTCTTGTTTGGGTGCAATACATTTAAAATGAGTCATTTAAATGGGTAGTTCACCTAAAATTGTAATACTGTCATCATTTTCTTTGGTTCCAAACCGTTTTGCGTTTCTTTCTTCTGTTGAACACAAAAGAAGATATTTTGAAGAATGTTAGAAACCGGTAACCATTGATTCCCATGGTATTTATTTTCTTTACTATGAAAGGGTTTTCAGCTTTGTTTAAAGTATTATCTCTTGTGTTCAACAAAAGGAAGAAACTTATAAAGGAGATAATCTAATGAATGTTGGAAACCAGTAACCATTCACTTCCATTGTAGGAAAAACAAATACTAAGGAAGTCAATGGTTACAGATTTTCAGCTTTGTTCAAAATATCTTTTTGTGTTTAACAGAAGAAACTCATAAAGGAGATATTTTAAAGAATGTTTGAAACCTGTAACCATTGACTTCCATAGTATTTTTCCTCTACTATGGAAGTTAATGGGTACAGGTTTTCATCTTTCTTTAAAATATCTTCTTTAGTGTTGTTCTGATGTTCTGCTTTTGGGTTTTCAGTTTTTCTGCACTTATTTACAAATTTAGCTCTTGTTTGAGTGCAATACATTTTTAAAAAGTCACTTACAGTTTTTTTGGATTGCTTAAGCACGATTTTCAAAACAGTACACACAATTAAAACAACCACACACCCAATTAGCAAAACACTACAGATCCTTTGCATAATTAAACAGTCTTGTAAAAACTTTACACTTATGTTTAAAAACCACACTTTTTTACCATAAGAAACACACATTTTCACATTTACTATACTCTGTTTGCACGAGCTACACACTGCTGTGATAAACCTAAAACACTTTTAGCACTTCTACTTCCCTATAATTAGAGTAGGCTACCATCAACAAGGTACAAATATAAAGTAAATTCACCAAACACTACTCAAGAAAATGCTGCACACTGAAGAAACTCATTAATTCCTCAACATGTCCAACATGTTTACATGAAGATTCAAAGTACTGTAACATGTCACTTTACGTATTGAACTGTTAGTTAGACATTGTCTCTTCGCCTAGCTGGATCTGGCATGAGAATTATCAATTGCAATGCTGTCCTTAGCAAGACACCTTGGAAAGAAGTGTCTTGAATGTAGAATCTTGTATTGCTGCTACCTCCATCTGGTCACAGGCCTCCTCCATGGCTTGGATGAGGGGTACCTCAGCTTGGAGACGAAGATCATATACTTTCCACCACTATGCCAAGAAAAACTTTTCAATAGGGTTGAGGAATAGAGAGTTTGGTGGAAGATATAGGACGGTAAAATGTGGATGTTGCTAAAACCAGTTCTGAACCAGAGCAGAACGGTGGAAGGACACATTGTCCCAGACAACAATGTATTGCGTATGATCGATTTGATTTGCTGCTGTTATGTTGTGCAGTTGGTCCAAGAATGGTCATGGCAGTGGAGGACCCCATTCTTTGTAATGGCTGCACAGAGTGTTTCCCCCACGTTGCCCTGGGACATTGACTTTAGCCCTGTGGCCAATGATGTTTCTTCTACTCCGTGTTTTCGTCAGGTTGAACACACCATCATCTACATAAGCGAACTCATGCTAGATCTCCTCTCCATCCATTCGTAAAACTACCTGAAGAACAGTGTAAGGCAAAATTGTGTAGTTCAGTGTAGATCTAGTATTACAGTACAGTAAAAGATATTGAGACAGTATGCAAGATCACACTGCTAAAGTGAATACATACCTCTGCATAATCATGCATCAGTCTTTTTTACCCTTTCGAAATTGTGTTCGAAAGGCACTCCATAAATTTGTTTCATTTAAATATGTTTTTTTTTTTTTTTTTTTTTAATGGTGTGTGCCAGAGTTGATATTGAGACCTGATGGTTATCATTGAAACTGGCATTTTATAGTGCTTAAACACCTGATTGGTGTGTCTACAATTAATCAAACAAGTGTTTGCACACCTGACAACTGTGTTGAACCAACTGGTTGGACGGTGCAGTAATTTGACAGTCAGTGCTTTGGTATTGCAAGGAAGGCCACAGCCATGTCACCCTGCAGCCCAAGACCGGTTACTCACTGAAGCTAAGCAGAACTGAGCCTGGTCAGTACCTGGATGGGAGACCACTAGGGAACACCAGGTTGCTGTTGGAAGTGGTGTTAGAGAGGCCAGCAGGGGGCGCTCAACCTGCGGTCTGTGTGAGTCCTAATGCCCCAGTAAAAGTACAGGGGACACTATACTGTCAGTGGGCGCCGTCTTTCGGATGAGACGTTAAACCGAGGTCCTGACTCTCTGTGGTCATTAAAAATCCCATGGCACTTCTCGTGAAAGAGCAGGGGTGTAACCCCGGTGTCCTGGCCAAAGTCCCTCTATCGGCCCTTACGATC